TTGGGGTCTGTGGGACCTTTGGGGTCTGTGGAGCCTTTTGGGGTCTTTTGGGGTCTGTGGAGCTTTTGGGGTCTGTGGGGCCTTTGGGGTCTGTGGGGCCTTTTGGGGTCTGTGGGACCTTTGGGATCCTTTGGGGTCTGTGGGGCCTTTTGGGGTCTGTGGGACCTTTGGGGTCTGTGGGATCCTTTGGGACCCTTTGGGGTCTGTGGGATCCTTTGGGATCCTGGAGCCCTTTGGGATCTGTGGAGCCTTTGGGATCTTTTGGGGTCTGTGGGATCCTTTGGGGTCCTTTGGGGTCTGTGGGAGCCTTTGGGACCCTTTGGGGTCTGTGGGACCCTTTGGGATCTTTTGGGGTCTGTGGGACCCTTTGGGGTCTGTGGGATCTTTTAGGATCCACCGATCCCTTTGACCTCCCGGGATCCGCGGTGGCCCCGGCCCTCACTGGGACACGGGGATGGGGACACTGCTCGGGACCCCGATGTCCCTCTGTCCCCAATGTCCTCATTGTCCCTCTGTCCCCAATGTCCCTCTGTCCCCAATGTCCTTCTGTCCCTGGTGTCCCTCAGCGGGTGACAGTGACCCCCACAGACCCCAATGTCCCCAATGTCCCTCAGCGGGTGACAGTGACCCCCAATGTCCCCAATGTCCCTCAGCTGGTGACAGTGACCCCCAATGTCCCTCAGTGGGTGACAGTGACCCCCAATGTCCCCAATGTCCCTCAGCGGGTGACAGTGACCCTCAGCGGGTGACAGTGACCCCCACGCGGTGCCAGGCGTTGCTGAGGACCCCCCGAAGGTTCCAGATGCCCCCAATACCCAATACCCAGTACCCCAATGTCCCCAATGTCCCTCAGCGGGTGACAGTGACCCTCAGCGGGTGACAGTGACCCTCAGCGGGTGACAGTGACCCCCACGCGGTGCCAGGCGTTGCTGAGGACCCCCCGAAGGTTCCAGATGCCCCGCACGCTGTCGGGCTGCACGTTGTAGCTGCTGTCCACGGCCTTGCACACGATGTCCAGCCGGGTCCCCGCGGGCGCCGCCGCTCGCAGCTCCCAGAGCGCCCAGGCCCAGCCCCGGCCCCGCTCCGGCCGCGGCCCCAGAGCGGCCTCGCGCCACGTGCGGCCCCCGTCCAGCGACACGTCCACCTGCGGGGGGGCGGTAATTAGTGCTAATTAACGCTAATTAGCATAGAGATCCATCCCCGCCCACCCCTGTGCGGTGACACGCTGTGTTGGGTTCCGCTCGCTTTTGGCAGATGTTCCGCTTGGTTTTTCCATTCATCCCCTGTTCCACATCTCCCTTTTCCGCCCATTTCCCTTTTCCCACCCATCCCCCGTTCCCAATTTCCCTTTTCTCACCCCATTTTCCCATCCATCCCCCGTTCCCAATTTCCCTTTTCTCACCCCATTTTCCCATCCATCGTTCCCAATTTCCCTTTCCCCACCCTTTTCCCACCCATCCCCCGTTCTCCATCTCCTTTTTCCACCCATTTCCCTTTTCCCACCCCATTTTTCCCACCCATCCCTCGTTCCCGCTTTCCCTTTCCCCACCCATCCCCCGTTCTCCATCTCCTTTTCCCATCCCTTTCCCTTTTCCCACCCATCCTCCGTTCCTCACCACATTTTCCCACCCCATTTTTCCCACCTACACCCCATTCTATCCATCCCCCGTTCCTCATTTCCCTTTCCCCACCCATTTCCCTTTTCCCACCCCCTTTCCCCACCCATTTCCCCACTTTTTTCCCCCATTTCCCCACCCATCCCGGTTCCCCATCTCCCTTTTCCCACCCCATTTCCCCCACTTTTCCCCCATTTCCCCACCCATTTCTCCACTTTTCCCCCCCATTTTCCCCCACCCATCCCCGCTCCCCCTCTCACCCTGATCACCTCCCTTCCTCCTCCGCTCCACGCGTATCCCTTCACCGTCAGCTCCCCGGCGGGCACGGCGGCCCCGGGCCGCGGTTCGGTGATCGCCGACTGCACCGGCAGCTCCTGGATGGCCGGAGCGCTGCGGAAATCCACGGAATCCCAATCCACCGAGGGACAGAACCCTTTGTAATCGTTCTGCTGCCAGTGGCTCGGGCTCTCCGAGGGTGACACCACCACGCTCCGCAGCCACTTGACGCTCCTCGCCCCCACCACACCGGGCACCACCGCCCGCACCGGGAAGCCGTGATCCCGCGGCAGCTCCCGCCCGTTCATCTCGTACGCCAGCAGCACCTCGGCCTCGGCGCTCAGCGCCCGTTTTAACGGGATGGACGCTCCGTAGGGAGTCCCGGAGGCGTCCGCATCCAAACCTTCGAAACACACGTGCCAGTCCTCGGCGGCTCCGCTTTTGTCGCCGAAACCGGCGGCCAGCAGCACGTCCCGGAGCCTCGCCCCGCCCCAGCGCGCCGTGCTGATGGCCCCGATGTCCCAGTCCAGCCCCTTGACCGGGCGCTCGCGGCTCATCTCGGATCTCCGGTTACCGGCGCATTGCAGCGTGGCCGTCACCTCGTGCTTCGGGAAGCGGCGGCGGAGCTCGGCCAGCGACAGCGACAGCGCTCGGCCACCGGGAACCTCCACGCGCAGCCGGTACGAGCCCGGCTCCACCGAGGGCACCGGGAGGTGGTTACGGGTGAAGAAAAGCTCGTTGGGAGTGAGGAAACTCTGGGTCAGCAGCTCCGGGGGAGGTTCGGCGTTAAAAGGTTTCAAGCTGTTCACCCGCAGCGCCGGGTGGCGAGGGGGGTCCCCGGCGAACGGGTCCGCGGTGTCCCCCGGTGTCGCCGCGGCGTCCTCGGGGCTCAGCTCGCCCACTTTGTAGTCACGGAGCAGCTCCAGCACGTGGGGCTGGCTGTGAACGGCGTAGAGAGCCCAGAAAGGCTCCAGGGCTCCTCCGGCCGCCAGCAGGATTTTGTCCGGTCCCCCCGGGTGCAGCTCCACGAATTCGGTGACGTCGAACACGTCGGTGCCGTAGGTGACCCACACGCGGTCGCTCGGGGTGCGGTGCTGAGCCACCTCGGCCCGGGTGTAACGGGGGTACGGCGGGGCCGGGGGGGCCTGCGCGGCCTGGGCGCTCTGCGGGCACCGGGAGGGTCAGTGGGACACCCCTGATCCCGGTGTCCCGGTGTGACCCCTCCCCAGGATCCCAGTGTCACCCCCTCCCCGG